TCAGGTGTAAATTCAGTACCTAGTGGAATGATAGTAGGAAGATCTGGAAACCAACAACAAACTCCAGGACAAGGATCATTAGGAAATCCACCTAGTAAAAAAATTCATTTTAATCTATTTATCTTTATAATATTTTATAATTAAAATTTATATTTATAGTATTAATATATTTTATATATTTTAGTGGGACAAATGACTAAAGCTCCAAGTACAATCAAAACCAATATCAAGGCAGCACCACAAATTCATCCATATAGATAAAGTATAGATAAAAATATTGACTTTAATATAATATTTTTCAAATTGAAAATTATTTTCATCTTAATTTATTATTTTTTAATATATAGTAAGTTACATTAAAATAATTTGTTTCTTTTTATTTTTAAAATATTTACATATATATAATTATATATATTATAATTAAAATCATCTTTTTAATATCAGCATTACATTGTAAAATATAGAAATTATACAAATTATGGTTTGGCTCTTATACTTTATATATATATTTATAGTAATGTACATTAAAAATATAAATGTAATGTTAATTATATTTTAAGTAAATTCATGTAAAAAAATAAGTTACTATCTTACATAAAATTATTCATCTGTTAAAATGAAAATCATTTATAGTAATTATTATATTTACAAAAACTAATTGAATTTTGAGAATCTGTTATTTGAAATGAAAAAAGTCAATTAAAAAATTAATCCATTATATCAAATTGTCTATAAGGCTTTATAGCTATAAAAGATTATTGTACAAAATATTAAAATATAATTTATTGTAAAATATAAATGAAAAAGAATACATTAACTTTGTATTATTATATTGTATCTTTTTTAACTGTATAAATACTTATTTGCCCATTTATTTGTTACATTATTTTTATAAATATAAAATGTAAAAATCATCATGATTTTTCAGATACTTGAAATGACTTTCAGAAATTTTGGATCAATGGATGAAAATATTTTCATAGAAATTTTGTTTGGAATTAAACTTTATATGGAATGTTTTTAATAAAATGAATTTTTTAATAAAAAAAATGTATTATATATACATATTTTTTTCACGCACATAAATACTTGTTTTTTAAAGAAGAAAAATAAATAAAAAAAAGAAAATATAAATAATAAATTTACTGATTACAAACATATTAAAAAATAATTAAAAATCAAAATAATTCTTAAAATAATTCTTAAATTATAAATGTTCTTCAAAATTTTTAATAAATATTTAAATGTTTAAAATAATACTATATTATATTATATATACTATTATATTATATATTATATATTATATTATATATATATTAAATTCTGCATGTGTTCTATTTTATATACTATTCTATATACGTCTGTGATGTATATATTATTTTTTTAATAACATCTTAATATTAATATCTTTAATATCTATCTTAATATCTACTCTGAGAACATGATGAGGAATACAATTTTTTTGACAATAATTTTTTTTCGGATATTTTCGATAAATAGTTTTATATATTAATATTATATTATATATAACATATAATATGTTATATTATATATAACATTGAACGTTAAATATTTCTTTTTTATTGTAGTTATATATATTAAACAAAATATATGCATTTATTTGTTATATAGCAGTAGAAACAAAAACTCGATAGATGTACACATTACATTATTAGTCAGTATATATATACTAAATAAAATAAAATGCCATAATATGATTTAATTATATTAAATCATATTAAAATTAAATTAAAAATTTTCATTATATAAATTAAAATTAAAATTATTAATTTTTTTAATTAATAAACTTTTATTTTAAATATTAATTTAAATAATATTAATTTTTAATTAATAATTCAATTAATAATTAATAATATCAATTAATAATTCAATATGCATTTTGAGAAAAATATTAATATTTTTAAGTTTGATTAATTAAGTATTTTTTAATCTGTTTTTACAAATTTTTTTTTATTGAAAAACATGTTTGAAAAATATAAAATTTAATCCAAATAAAATAATTTTTCACGAAAACATTATCGTTTATTAATTTCACTTCTAAATTTTTTCATTTTTTTTTAAATTTTTTTAAATTTTTTAAAATTTTTTTCTTTGAATTATTTGAAATTCTGAAAAAATCATAATGACAATTATGAATTGTGAAATATCCTATATTATTTATTATATTAAGGTTGTCATTTTAAGAGAATTGGAGGAAAACTTGTTTTATGCACATGACAGCATAATCATATATAGCATAGAAATAGAAATAGAATTTATATTAGATAAATGTAAAGAGTAAAGAGTGATAATAAGAATCACATAATATTTTTTCCAGAGAAGGTTTATAACAATACTGTTTATTAATTTTTAAAAGAAAATACATGATACACAAAAATATTGAAGTAAATATTTATTAAATTAAAAAAATAATTATTAAATATTTATTAAATTATTTATTAAATTATAAGTCATTGAACTTTGCATTAAATAAAGTAAAATAATATTTTAATATTTTAATCATTAGCTATTTCGTCTCTCTTCATTTAATATAAACTTAAACTGCTTATAAATTAAATAAATAATTTTTAATTAATATTATATATCAATATTTTTATATTTTAAGGTCTTAGAATAAATTCCTAATTTTAATTATTAATAAAATAGAAAATATTTTATAAATATTAATTCTTAATTATTATAAAATATGTGAGAGTGCATCTAATTTTTATTCATTTCTATTTTTTTTCTTACATACAATTTTTTTATGTTTTTTATGTCAAAAATTTCAGGTACTTTTTAATTAGAATCTGATGTTTAATTAATGAAATTATTAATGATTTATATATTTTCAATTATTAATAAAATTGATTTACTTTTTTTGTTTATAATATAAGTATATTTTTATATTATAATATATAAGTATATTTTTTTTTTATTTGTCTTTAATACTATATATGGCATAATTGAAACAATATCTTTTTCATATTTATTCTTAGTGATTTTTTATTTTTATTATAAATTGATTATCAATAGTTTTCTTTTTTGCATTTTGCATGTTATGAGAATAATTTGAAGAATAAAAAAAAATAATTTGATCTTAGTTTTTTCATATTTATTTTCAAAATTGAATATCTATTGTTAGTTTTTTTTTATAGTTTTTACAAAGAAAATTCATAAGATTATTAAGGACAAAAATATTATGAATATTATAATCAATATTATAAATTATAAATTAAAGTCATAATTAAAAAGATAAAAATAATGATAATATAAAAAAACATAAAACATAAACATAAAAAAAATTTTAATATATTTGCAATTGTTCAGGCTTCTTTTCATTATTATATGCTACAAAGCAAAAATAACTGAAATGGATCTTTATTTGTACTTATATATATTTCATTAATATACTTTATATACTATAATGCAATAAACATCTAAAAGTTGTAAGATCTTCTATAATAATTGTAATAAATTCTAATAATTAAAAGTAATTAATTACTATATATCTGAATGAATTTATTAAATATTATATTATTTTATTCATTTTTTCATTTTTGTACATAGTATTTTTTGTTATATTTTATATTATATTAGTCTTTAATTTATTATATTTTAATCATATCTTATCTGTATATTATATAATATATAATATATAAAATATAATAATANATTAAATATAAAAATATTTATTATTTTTTGTGAGATACAATTGCATATGCTCGTGGAGATATATATTTATTCATTACTGGAATAATTTTTGCTTCTAAACCTTCTTCTTCCATCCAACATAATCTGTCTTGTAAAACAAGTGATTCTGCTGGTGCTTGCAACATCAATTGTAAACCAGTATATATTTCTACAATTTTAAATTTATCACAATGATTTTTCCATAATTCTATTATATTTTTTTTATGTGTATCAAGATTGAATTCTACATCTAAAAAATAGATAATATCTTAATATTATTTTATTATATTAAATAACTATTTATTATATTAAATAACTATTAATTTTGTTTTCAAAACTTATATTGTTTAAAAATATTTTTTGTAATATATAATGTACAAAAATAAAATTATAAAAATATAGAAAATTTTTTAATATGATATAATGTAAATATAATGATATAGTATTTAATATAATAAAGTATTTATATACATATACTTAATAATATAATACTTAATAATTAATAAAATATTTTATATGTACTTTATATCTTGTATAATATTACCTTGTTTGTTGAATGTTTCTTTTTCTTGTGGTTGTAAAATATACCTAGTCAATGCATCATTAATATATGTTTCAAAATTTAAACATTGTGATTTTCTTGTTCCTTTTTGAGTACATTTCTTAAGAGAAAATCCATCTGAAACATTTATGTTTTATATATACTTTATATTATTAATGTTATTAATTGAAATAAAAAATATGAAATTATATACATACTTTTAGTTGCATACAATTGAAGGACAGCTCTTGCAAGAACATAGAAAGAATGTTTATTATGTGTTTCAATAGACATGTTATACCATCTATCTACTGGTTCTTGACATGCTAGCCGTAAAAAAGGTTGCCTCAAAAAGATACCAATATCAAAATTAGTATTATTAATAATAGTTTTAAAACGATTAGATAAAGGAAAATTATTAAAGTATTGTTTTTCACTTGATGCATTTATTCTTATACTTTTTGATATTGAAAGTTTATGATAACAACAAGGAATTAAAATAAAAATACGTGCTATTTTCATATCTCGAAATATTTTTGATGCATATATACTAAGATCTCCACAAGCATGTAGACCAATTAAACAAATATCTGATTTTTCTTGAAATTCATTATTTAAAATAGCTTCTATTATTTCAACAGAATTATATGTTAAATCACAACAACTATATTTAACATATGCCAATGAATCAGAATACATTTTTATTTGTCTACTTCGAGCATTATTTACATTTGTTTGGCTTTTTTCTAATCCAAGAACTTTATATCCATACAAATAATATAATAACTGACAAATATATCCCTATAATATATAAAAAAAATAAATATAAAATAAAATACAAATTTTATTTTCTATAAATAATAACATTATATAAACATAAATATCTTACCAAACCTGCACCAAGATCAATAATAGTTTTAATATTTTGTGATGCACATTGCATATGTACTAGGTATGCTAAATGCATTATTTCATGTTGTTTTTTAAGATTAAGACCTGTTTGAAATTTTTTTGGTAATATTATTGGTATTATACTGTTTATATTTGGTAATCGATCAATATATCTACACTTTTTAACAAATGTTTTTAAAGTCTTTGACCATTCTGGCTAAAAAAGTAAAATAATTTATTTATAATATTATATTAAATATATATATAATTAAATATATATATTAATATATATATCATATATATTTAGTATTTTATTATATATTTTAGTATTAGATTTATTTACTAACCTTTG